CCAGCCTCTCGGTTGGGGTTCCCTGCACCCCGCCGCTGCTGAGGCCCCCAGGAGCGGCGGCGATGGCGGAGGCGGCGCTGCTGCTGCTGCCCGAGCGGCCACCGCGGACGCTGCTCCATCCTCTCCCGCCCGGCCGGCCCGGCTCCTCCCTGCCTGTGCCCGCGCCCTGCACCGCGCCCTGCACGGCGAGCTGCACCGCGAGCCGGCGGAGCAGGAGCCGCCTAGGGCAAGGGTTCCGCGTAGACGCTCTTGCTGTGCTGGAACGCCGGGCAGCTGGTCGATTGCTGCCGCGAACCACACCGCCGCTCCCCGCTCTCGGGAGCAAAGCCAGTTTAAAGAGCCAGCTTGGCCGCAACCAAACCCTGGCTGGGCGGCCGCGAGGCGTCCCGAGCTCTGATTGGTCGGCTACCTTGTCGATCACTGGTGGGGCGGGCGGATAGGAGCTGTCCAGTGCTGAACCCGGGCGGCACGGCGGGGGCGGCGGAGCGGGAGGCCGCGCCCAAGCCCTGTCACCCACTCGCGTTCTGACTCGGAAACGCGCGGGGGTGAGCGAGGGGGCTGGACTGAGAAGCGCAGCGGGACTATCGGCGGCTCCGCGCGGAGGAAACTTGGACGTACCTAGGAGGAGGAGGGGGAGGGTGTCAGCGTCGTCCGTGCTTCATTAAATGAGCCTTTGCGTCCTCCTGCAAAAGAGGGAGAAGGGAATAGTTTGCATTTCTGACTGAAACTAGTGGGGAGGGACGTAGGATGGAGATGTGTCCTCCTGAGCATCCGCTCATTTTTAGGCAGGTTATTAAGTCCTCTTCCTTGTCGTCAAAGGCATGATGAACATCTACTTGCTGAGGTTGGTCTTGGCTATGAGAGAGTAATGGAGACATCTACCGGCTGAGCTTTGAGGGGGAAAAGCTGTAAAGAAGCTCTTGTTGGGGACCACGACAGAAGGGAAGTCGTAGACCTTATGAAAATAAAGATGTGTAGGGAAGAGAGCATGTCCAAGGGGCACGATTCGTGGACTGTGGGAAAACGTCAAAAAGAGAGTTTGTGTTGAGTGGGAAAGGAAGTCATTCAGGCCAGGAACTGCTAGAATTGATAGATAAGAACTAGGAGCTCTGCTTAGCTTGAAGCTGTAATATCCCTACAGGGGGAATAACTGGACAGGTAACCCAAGCCCACTCAATTATTGAGAATCCCTTGACACAGTTTGTTTTATTTGAAGAATATTAAGGAATTTAAGAGTGCCTTCTAACACTCTTGAAAGACAGGTCAATGGTGTAGATATCTAGTGTTGTATGTACGGACACTTCCCATCAGTGATTCCACTTTCAAATTTCCCACAAAAGGGCCAGGAATATGGCTCAGTGGCACAAGCACCTGCCTGGCAAGCACAAGGTCCTAAGTTCAATTCCCAGTACAAAAAAAAAAAAATCCCACAAAAGTCACAAGTAGGAAATAATATATTAACTTTAATTGCCAACAAAAACGTCACTCATGACATTCCCAAAAAACACTGTTTAAATGTACTCTTATTTTTTCATATTATTCTCTCTATTGAGAAAATATGTGCCTTCTGTTTTGTGTTGCCATAACAAAATATCTGACACTAGATAATATATAAAGAAAAGAGATCTATTTAGCACATAGTTTTGTAGACAAGAAGCCCAAAATCAGGCAACTCATTATTCTGGCCTGTGATGAAAACCTTCTTGCTAGTTCAGAACCTGGAAGATAACATCATGTTTGGGAGTGTGTGGGGGAGAGAGAGAGGTCACATGGAAGGACAGGAAGCAACAGACCATGAAGGGATCAAACCACCTCTTGTATTATGACACACTCTTCTAAGAACTAACCCAGTCCCATTTAACTGGATTTTGGGGATGGTTGGTACTGGGGATCAAACTCAGGGCTTTTACACTGAGCTAGGTCATCAGCTCTTTTTTTTAATTTTCAATTAGTCTTGCTAAGTCACTAAGTTTCTCAGGCTGGGCTCCAAATTGTTACCCTCCTGCTTCAGCCCCTCAGAGTACTGGGATTAAAAGCTTGTGCCACCACACCTGGCTAAAACCCGGCCCACTCTGAAGAGACAAAGTTAATGCACTCATGAGGGCAGAGAGCCCACCTCTTAAGGTTTTCACCACCTCAGCAGCACCACACTGAAGACCAACTTATAGTGCATGAACTTCTGGGAGACAAACCACATCAAACCATAGTAATAGTTAAACACGGGAATGTAAATTCCAAAGGAGTACAGTCTTTCTCTACAATGGTCATGTAATACCTTGAGCACATAGAACACTGCTGGCACATAACAGCTTCCTGTTAAATACTTCCTGAATTAATGAATGAACAAGAATGTCATGATCATGAAGCTTTTTATCCAAAACTCCATTTCCTGATATGTCTGTAGTGATTCTTAGAATGCTTAGCAACCAATTTCCCCAACTACTGTGCAAGGTCTCTAAGTGAGTTTCATTGCTATGCAAAGAATGGTTATTAGATTTATATTTACTTACAGGAAGATTTCATGTTCATATCCAACTTTTTGTTCAAATTTTGCTTTGCAGAGTATGCTCCTATGTTAAGTAAAGGTCAATCTGGTTTAATGCTCTATTATAGTGCATGAGCAATGGTTACAGCAGGAACTTGCTTGGTTTGCCAAAGTATACACAATGATTTCTCATTTATTTAAACATCTAAAGTCTGAAGGGTAATTTCCTCATGGATGTTTTTAGAGAATCTACCTAACTTATCAACACTTCTTTAAAATTGGGTGATATGTAACTTTAAAAAAAAGGAAGTACTTTTCTTAGCAGGTCCTTCTATCAGTAAACTGATGGTAGCATAATAATAAAAATAAAGGCTGAATAATGGTCCTAGAATTTTTTTAAAGCAAATGTGACCCTGGCAGTACATTTGAAGTTTCTATTTCTTGGGACATAAATGTTATCTCAGCCTCAGGTTGTACTGAGTTTGTACTGGTGCAGCACCTGCATAAGAGTGCCAGTCCTCCCCCAGTACAAATCTAAGAGGAGAGGAGAGGATGGTGAAAGGCTCTTGAAACTTTAGCAGCACTTCAGTGGACTTTAGCATCCCCTTCAGCCTACACTGCCCTATAACTGGAGTGAGCTAGATGGTTCTAAAGGAAAGTGGTCCAGTAAAAATACAATATGAGCTACAAATATGATCCATGCAATTAATTTTCAGTGTTCCAGCAGTACATTTAAAAAGTTCAAAGAACTGGGCCTGGTGGCACAAGCTTGTAATCCCACCACTCTGGGAGGCTGAGGCAGAATTACAAATTCAAGCCCAGCCTTGGTAATGTAGTGAGACCCTGCTTCAAAGTAAAACATAAAATAATGAGCTAGGAATGTATCTCAGTACAAGTATATTAGTTTCAATTTCTAGTACTGCCAAAAGGTAAAATTAAGTTAAATTTAATTAAATTTAAAAATAAAAGTTTTAAAGAAAAAATAAGACTAATTTTAATAATATATTTGATTTTGCCCAATATACCCAAGTGATTATCATTTCAATAAGAAAATATAAACATTATTTATGATCTATTTACCATTCCATTCTGTTTTCCAAATCTGATGTGCATTTTGTATTCACTGGACATGGCACTTCACATAAGTCACATTTCAAGATCTCAATAGCCACCCATGGCCTGTACCTACCAGAAGCACATGATTTGGAGGAGGGTACCTTACGGTCCAGCATGCTCTAGAATATGAGATTCAGTCAGTATAAGGCACCCAGGTGTAGATGCTCTAGAAAACTTGGCCACTTAATAGATCTGGAGTCAAGGTAACTTAGGAAGAAGGGAATTCCATCTCTGTGTTTAAATCCAGAATTTAAACACAGAATAAGAGAATAATCCAGAAAAGGTTTTATAAAGACCCAAGAGTTAACACACACAGCTCTTAAAGCAGAGTAGAGACTTTCACAGAACTCACATAAGACGTATATAATCATTCAACAAATGTTCACTGAGCCTCTACTGTGTATCAGGCACTGGGCCTCATATTGGAGCAAAAGAATGCATTGTCTGCTTACCTGGCTCTCATGTTCACATAGGCAGGGAAAGACAGAAGAAGGAAAACAAACACATAAGATAATTACACATGGTGATAAGCACTGTGAATAAATAAAACCACTATGATGTGATAGAGTACAATGTATGGGGACAGGGAGCTTTATATATAAAGTGATAAAAGGAGAGACAAACTCTCTGAGGAGGTGACAACTGAACTGAAACTTAAAGAATGAACAGTAATTAACTAGACAATAGACGGTCATGAGCTAAGTATAAAAGGAAGAAAGTTGAGGTAAAGGGGGAAGTCTATAAATGACTGAGATTACAAATATTCTGTTCATAACAAGAAATGAATGAGGAAGATAAGTATAATACACTGAAGTTCCTATGTAATACGAAAACTGCCACGAGTAAAGACAAAAGGAAATCATTTTATAAGCTAATCAAGATAAGAAGTGAGCCTTAAATAAATATCCTCCTCCCACCACTTATATAATTTGTACATGTAGATAAACATCCCTGTGTGTGTCTCAAATTTCAGAATGAAATTGTCTAAATGCACATTCATACTGTATAGGAGCTCGACTGTAGTTGAACAATGGATACAAGACTTGTAACTCTGTGTGAAAAGGCCCAGGACTTTTTCATCACAACCTGAAAAGTCAATCTAACTGTGTTAGAACAAATTTACACTGATAAAGAACAATATGTAATACAGTTATGAGTTATTAGTTGTCATATGATTGAGCTCTATCACTATTGTAAAAAGGAAGATGTGGTGCCGGCATATCTTTAAGTAGAAGGAATCAAAGGAAATCAAAGACTTCTGAGATTTTATTGGAGAAGTATCAGTGG